TTCGAGACCAATATCTTCGCCTCAGTTTGGAATGTTGTTTGTTCAGGGGGATGCACTTAGCGTAGTGTGACATTCGCATGAGAGATTAATCCGCTACGGGAACAACTTTCAGCATCTGACGCGCACCCGCCTGTTAGGATTTAGTGCTGGGGTCCCCGACTTGCGGGGGATCAGGCAGGGGGGTTAAGACTTACGTCTGTATTAGGGGGTTGTAAATGTTAGTGTGGCGGGAGTTATGGTGCTCGTGAGAGCCGCCAGGGGGAGGTGCAGCTGCGCCCTCCCTCCCTCCCTCCCTCCCTACCACTTTTTAAGGGTGAGACATTATTCTATAAGGCGGATTTAACGTGAACCCTGTCTAGCTGGGATCACTATCTGGGGGGGCTTCCATCCTAGCTGGGGTCACTCTTGATAGCTGGGGTCACTCTTGATATAGCTGGGGTCACTCTTGATATAGCTGGGGGTCACTCTTGATATAGCTGGGGGTCACTCTTGATAGCTGGGGTCACTCTTGATATAGCTGGGGTCACTCTTGATATAGCTGGGGGTCACTCTTGATAGCTGGGGTCACTCTTGATATAGCTGGGGGTCACTCTTGATATAGCTGGGGTCACTCTTGATAGCTGGGGTCACTCTTGATATATCTGGGGTCACTCTTGATATATCTGGGGTCACTCTTGATATAGCTGGGGGTCACTCTTGATATAGCTGGGGGTCACTCTTGATAGCTGGGGGTCACTCTTGATAGCTGGGGTCACTCTTGATATAGCTGGGTCACTCTGTAATAACCCGCCTTGTAATGTCTCGACCTGAGCTTGTAAAAGCACCTTCATCACCTTCAGTGATTAAGTGCTTAATTGCACACTAGTTTCTTTATCAGCTACCTCACCCTGTCAGGGTAAATGAGACAAATGTATGTGAATGCATGTATGTGTGTATATATGTATGTGTATGTGTGTGTGTGTGTATGTATATGTATGGGTATAAAGCAAATATGGAAGCTGATCAGAATTACATTTCACCTTTGTGAATGTACATTAATGACACTATGTAAAAGACACATCTAATACTTTATGTAGGGCGTACGTAAATCTGTGTATCTTTGTATTTACGTATGTAGGTTAGCTTAGCATTTTAAAAGCACCGAATCACCTTCTGTGGTTGAGTGTTCAATAAACCCTTGAACTGTATGTTTAACACTTCTCTAACCCTGTCCATGGAGGACAGAAGAAAATGTATATATGCTGGTTAGCATTGTAAATGTGTGGCCACGTCTGTGGTAGAAAAAAAAAAAAAAAAAAAATGTCTCGACCGCGCACCCCGCTACTACCACTGAGCTAACCGTGCAATCTCCGCTCTTTCTATGGTAATAACAGATGCTATACCGATCATGTAAGATGTTAACACTCGGGCCGTCATACGAAGACGTAAACCAGTACACAGAAGGAGAGAGAGAGAGAGAGAGAGAGAGAGAGAGAGAGAGAGAGAGAGAGGAAGAGTGAGACGAAGAGTGAGACACTAGTGAGGGAGCGTGAGACAGAAAGATAGAGATAATCGTAGTCACAGCCTATCGTATGAGTTACCGAGTGACGCTGCCACCACCCTGAGTTACCGGACAGGGGACCGGAGTGAGATTCGTAGGTCTTGCAGATGGAATAACCTACCAGGACAGGTGTAGGGGACAATTGGAATAGACGCTGCCTCGCATGGACCAGTTGGTCTTCTGCAGCTCCCAGCTCCTGGATTCGATTTTTTTCTTTTTTTTCTTTCAGCTGACTGCCGTATTTGGGCTCGAAGCTGTTTATGAAGTCATACATGAGCTCAAGCCTAACCTGCCACTATCTCTCTTCCTGTCACATTTAATCTATTTACAACCAATAGACCAAGTGGGGCTGATTGGTTGTTGAAGGGGGGGGGCGGGGTATTCGAGAGGGGGGGGGGGGCAGAGAGCCCAGATTTAGGAGAAGGGAAGATGGCTGGATTTCCTGGTTTTCTTTTCCTTTAAAACTGTAAGGCCTTGGCGCACTATTGGAGGAGGAGGATTAGTCATTGGGAGGTAGGGAGGGTCCCAGGCCAGGTGAGGGGGAGTCAAGCCAGGGGAGAGTGGTCACGCAAGAGGAGGGGGGCCTGGGGAGGGGAGAGGTAATGGGCAGGGGGTTGGGAGGGAATATTTGTGAATGGGAGGGGAGCTGGGGCTTAGTTTCCTCTTCTAAGCTTGCCGAGTAAGCCGGACGACTCAAACAGAAAACGGAACAGTACGTCACTTTTGTGAGTCGATTTCATTTCAAATTACGTCCAAATTCGGCCAAAACGCGCATACGAGCGAAAAGTGACGTTATTTTTAAGAGGACGGGTTGGGGGGGGGAGGCAGGGTGTTGTCCCATAGATGCTGGTCCCCAGCCCTGCTCCCCGCCACCTCTCATCTTGGGTCATATCTTCAGGGGAAGTTATAACCTTTCACGTTCTGTGGGAAGGTGTTTAGTTACTAATGTGTACATTGTGTAGCTCTGCGTTGTTCACCTGTTTGTGCCTCTATGATCCTGTTACTGTTAGCTCTTGGACCCCGCCTTTCTAACCGTTGGTTTTCTAATATACTGACTCCAGACGTATTTTTCTTCTATCTTATCTACTACTACACTCTCTCTCTCTCTCTCTCTCTCTCTCTCTCTCTCTCTCTCTCTCTCTCTCTCTCTCTCTCTCTCTCTCTCTCTCTCTCTCTCTCTCTCTCTCTCTTTCTTTCATGTGATAATTTTGTTATGTGCTCATTTGGGTACTCAGCTTCCACCTGTGTTCCCTTGTTCGTGTACCACCCGTGTTAAATAATCCATCCTTGTCTACCCCTGTCAATTCCCCTGAGAATCTTGTATGTGGTGACCATGTCTCCCCGAGCTCTTCTGTCTTCTAGCGACGTGAGGTGCAGTTCAAGAAGCCTTTCCTCATAACTCATGCCTCTTAGTTCTGGGACTAGCCTAGTGGCATACCTCTGAACCTTTTCCAACTTCGTCTTGTGCTTGACTAGTTACGGGCTCCATGCTGGGGCTGCATACTCCAGGATTGGTCTTACATATGTGGTATACAAGATCCTGAGTGTGTGTTTCATGAAGTCATCGTAATGCTCTTGCAAGATCATTAATTCAATATCTCTCATATCTCTTATCATATATATACTTCAGAAAACTTGTACTGAAACTGCCTCAGCTGTCTCTACTTCCTATCAGTTCCATAAGTGGGTGAAGGAAGTGTTGGAGGAAGTGTTGGAGGAAGTGTTGGAGGTGAGGTGGCCACCACCACGTGAAGGACGACTTGACATTATTGATTTTAGTCTAGACATGCTGGCGTCTCTGTCATCTTCAGACGGCACCACGTGTCATGTTCACCCACCCGGGTCTCTGTTCACTGTCATGTTCACCCACCCGGGTCTCTGTTCACTGTCATGTTCACCCACCCGGGTCTCTGTTCACTGTCATGTTCACCCACCCGGGTCTCTGTTCACTGTCATGTTCACCCACCCGGGTCTCTGTTCACTGTCATGTTCACCCACCCGGGTCTCTGCTCACTCTCATGTTCACCCACCCGGGTCTCTGTTCACTGTCATGTTCACCCACCCGGGTCTCTGCTCACTCTCATGTTCACCCACCCGGGTCTCTGTTCACTGTCATGTTCACCCACCCGGGTCTCTGTTCACTGTCATGTTCACCCACCCGGGTCTCTGTTCACTGTCATGTTCACCCACCCGGGTCTCTGTTCACTGTCATGTTCACCCACCCGGGTCTCTGTTCACTGTCATGTTCACCTGGGGGGGTCAGTTTTTAATTGTCTATGTTCACCTAGAGGCCGCTGTCCACATGTTATGACCACCCCGGGCCCATTGTTCACTTCTCATGTTCACTAGCAGGGCTGTTGTTATGTTCACCTCGGGGCTAATGTTCACTTCTCATGTTCACCGGAGGTAAAGGGGGGGAGAGAGCTACGAGGATAAGTCGAGGGATCTAGACCTCTCAACGCTGGAGGAGACACAGAGGGAACATGATTGCAACATGGAAGATATTGAGGGGAATTGACAAGGTGGAAAGGGGGACAGCGTTTTTAAAGTGAGAGAAGGTAGGACAAGATGATGACACAGGCTGACGCTGGAAACACAACTGACCCGAAGGAATGTATGGAAATACTCGACATATCCTGTACGGGCGGCCAACAGGTAGAATGCAATGAAAGAAGCAGTTGAGGAAGCCACCTCCATCCACAACTTTAAGGCCAGATTCAGTAACAAAATTCAAACGTCAGAATAGGTGTATTATAGAACAAGAGATACAAGACACCGGGAAGCGAATACAACTGTATGAATATGTGAGCCACTTGCCGTTCTGAGATGTATTTCATGACCTCAGTAAACTTGCTTGAACTCAAGGGGGCCAGATTCACGAAAGCACTTACGCAAGAACTTACGAACCTGTACATCTTTTCTCAATCTTTGGTGGCTTTGTTTACAATTATTAAACAGTTAATGAGTTCCGAAGCACCAGAAGGCTGTTTATAACAATAGCAACAGTTGAATGGCAAGTTTTCATGCTTGTAAACTGTTTAATAAATGTAACCAAAGCCGTCAAAGATTGAGGAAAGATGTACACGTTCGCAAGTGCTTGCGTAACTGCTTTCGTGAATCTGGCCCAAGATAAGTAGAAAGAGAACCAGTACCGTTCAACCCGTTCTCGCACTTTCTTAGTCAATATCGACTTATTAAATAAGTGTATATGTGACATACTAAACATTCTCAAGATAAACTCAAATATTCACAATAAATTAGTATGTCACATATGCACGTATTTAATAAGTCAATATTGACTGTACGAAAGTGCGAGAACGGGTTGTACCGTCAGTAGGTATACAGGCCCCCCCCCCCCCCGCGGCTCTCCTCCCACATATGTGACGCAATATGTGTCAAAAGATTATGTGGAAAACCTCCGGCAAGAATTCAGAGGAATAGAGTGAGTTGAGTACCCGGAGTTGTGGTCAGCTGAGTGCTGGTGTATATAGACCTGAGTTACCACTCCTGCTCACAGCGGGAGTATTAGCACACTTGGTGAATTGCCTTACATTTTAGAATGGGATAAATTTGTTTGTATCTGTTTTGGCTCGTGAACTGGACTGAGTACCTGGCTGAGTACCTGGCTGAGCACCTGACTGAGCACCTGACTGAGCACCTGACTGAGCCTCCGGACTGAGCATCCGACTGAGCACCCGATTGAGCACCTGACTGAGCACCCGGACTGAGCACCTGACTGAGCACCCGACTGAGCCTCCGGACTGAGCACTGGCCCCCAGCACAAGGATACACGGTATAACCGCACAGGTACTGCCGTGTGCTCACCGTTATTTAACACACTGCTCATGATGCTCGAAGGTGTTGAGCAGATGTTGCTCATGATGCTCGGAGGTGTTGAGCAGATGTTGCTCATGATGCTCGGAGGTGTTGAGCAGATGTTGCTCATGATGCTCGGAGGTGTTGAGCAGATGTTGCTCATGATGCTCGGAGGTGTTGAGCAGATGTTGCTCATGATGCACGGAGGTGTTGAGCAGATGTTGCTCATGATGCACGGAGGTGTTGAGCAGATGTTGCTCATGATGCTCGGAGGTGTTGAGCAGATGTTGCTCATGATGCTCGGAGGTGTTGAGCAGATGTTGCTCATGATGCTCGGAGGTGTTGAGCAGATGTTGCTCATGATGCTCGGAGGTGTTGAGCAGATGTTGCTCATGATGCTCGGAGGTGTTGAGCAGATGTTCTTTATCATTTCTTGACTATTGTGTTGCTTTGCTCTTTGTCTGTGACGGGTGACTCGTCTGTGGCGACCTTTTGCTTACCTTACGTAAGGTAAGGTCCGCCCTGGAGGACTTGAGAATGGCCCAGGACGGACCGAAACGTCGTCGTCCCTTCACTTTCTAGTGTGTGGTCTGGTCAACATATTTCAGCCACGTTATTGTGACTCCTCGTTTGTATGGGACCTACACCTTGTTATTGCATTGGACCTCCAAGCCTGCAGTAAGTGTGTAGTGAGGGTGGCCACCAGGACGGGTGTGTGTGTGTGTGTCATTACTATGGGTGGGGGAGCATGTTGCTGTTATGGGAGCTCCACCCACCTATTGCGTATGTCACCAAGTATTGCGTATGTTCAGAGGCCAAGTATTGCGTATGTTCAGAGACCAAGTATTGCGTATGTTCAGAGGCTTGCGGGCCTTCATATTGCCTCCCCCAGAGCGCAACACTTGTCAGTAGCCGGCGATGGGAAGTGTTGCGTCATGTGTTGCTGTTGGGCGTCTGATAGCTGGGTGGATAGCGCTGCGGATTCGCAGTCCTGGGGTTCCGGGTTCGATCCCCGGTGGAGGCTTACGGAGTCGGTCGGCCGAGCGGACAGCACGCTGGGCTTGTGATCCTGTGGTCCCGGGTTCGATCCCCGGTGGAGGCGGAGACAAATGGGCTGAATGTTTCTTTCACCCTGATGCTCCTGTTATCTAGCAGTAAATAGGTACCTGGGAGTTAGACAGCTGCTACGGGCTGCTTCCTGGGGGGGGGGGGGTGTAGCAAAAAGGAGGCCTGGTCGAGGACCGGGCCGCGGGGACGCTAAGCCCCGAAATCATCTCAAGATAATCTCAAGATATACCCAGTATGTTGGTATGTGGAGGCAGGTGGCGGTATGTTGTGGGGGATAACATCTCCGGGTGATGCTGGCGACCAGCATCCCTAATGGAATTTCATTGACGTTTTTGTACTCACATAGTTATTCTTCGGGGGGGGGGGGGGGGTTGAGCTCTGGCTCTTTGGTCCCGCCTCTCAACTGTCAATCAACTAGTGTACAGATTCCTGAGCCTATTGGGCTCTATCATATCTACATTTAAAACTGTGTATGGAGTCAGCCTCCACCACATCACTGCCTAATGCATTCCACCTGTTAACTACATTGACACTGAAAAAGTTCTTTGTAACGTCCCTGTGGCTCATTTGGGCACTCAGTTTCCACCTGTGTCCCTTTGTTCGCGTACCACCAGTGATAAAAAGTTTATCTTTATATATCCTGTCAATTCCTCTGAGAATTTTTGTAGGTAGTGATCATGTCTCCCCTCACTCTTCTGTCTTCCAGTGTCGTGAGGTGTATTTTCCGCAGCCTTTCCTCGTAACTCATACCTCTTAGTTGTGGGACTAGTCTAGTGGCATACCTTTGGACTTTTTCCAGTTTCGTCTTGTGCTTGCCAAGGTACGGGCTCCATGCTGGGGCCGCAAACTCCAGGATTGGTCTTACATACGTGGTGTACAAGGTTCTGAAAGATAAGGGCGTCCCCCCCCCCTCTAGCCTGGGGAGTGAGGGGTGTGGAGGAGGAGCAGGTGTGGGGCGTCAGACTCCACCACCCTCGTCTAGTTCTGGGTGTCTGAGGCCGCTGTTAAAGCTGCGGGGTCACTCTGTACTGTCTGCCTGTCTGCCTCCCAACCCCCTCCCCCCCCTCTCTCTCTCTCTCATCTCTCTCTCTCTCATATCTCTCTCATCTCTCTCTCATCTCTCTCTCTCTCTCTCTCTCTCTCTCTCTCTCTCTCTCTCTCTCTCTCTCTCTCTCTCTCTCTCTCTCTCTCTCTCTCTCTCTCTCTCTCTCTCTCCAAGAAGATCCAAGAGCCAATGCTCGATCCTGCAAGCACAAATAGGTGAGTACACACACACACACAAACACACACACACACACACACACACACACACACACACACACACACACACACACACACACACACACACACACACACACACACACACACACCGTAGCTGAATGACAGAGAAACTAGAAAAGTGTAGACAATCTACTCCTACCAATCTAATCTACTCCTAGTCTTCTGAGATGCATCTTTTTCGTCTTAATAAACTCACATGAACTTGAGTGGCTGCCACACCGCCTCGCCTGCACCTCCAGCGGTCACACTGGCGAGGAATCGATGTGTTCACCTCTCCTTACTCCGCCAGCCATTTGTGAGGCTCCGGGAGCCGGTTTCGTCTCGCCGTCCGGTTAAGGAGTTCATAATGTACAGGCCAGATGATAGCCGGTTAATTCGCCTGGTGTGATTTCATGCATCGGCCAGTGTTGGTCCGTATTCGGCAAGGTTATGTTGTTCCCAAGTTGAATATTTTAAATTTAATTTCAATTCAATTTTTTCAATTTCAATTCAATTTAAACCTCACATTAGGAGGTTTAAATTGCCTTGTTATGAATTGACGAGTGTGTTTTCTGGCTCTAAAGTTGATCTGTCTTTGTTTCCAGGTGAGTGTGTGAACTGTCTACCCATATCAGCATATTCACCTTAATGATAAGCTGATCGTGTAAGTACATATCAATATGTATATACGTCGTGTGGGTTTGTAAAGTGTGGCCACCTAATTGTGCTGGCGGGGGTTTGGACAATGACTCCTGAGTCCTGGACTTGTTGGTGTGTAATTTTATTTGAAGATGGTAAATGAATTTATATCCAGTATAGGTGGTGATGAGACCTCAGTCAAGGCGGGGGATTGTGTACACCATTAACGCAGTTTACAGTTTACACTGAATTAGGACGAATTCAACATTGCATGTGTCAGTAGTTTGACGGAAAAAGTGTACTCGTAACGTCTGTCAAGTGTTTACAACTCAACAGCTGTTGAGTCATTGTTTACAACCAAAGCATCGTGTGGCCCGACACACGTGATGGGTTAAGGTCAAATCAGACATACACCTATTCGACAAAAACAAGTTTCCTGTTAAAACCGTATATATATATATATATATATATATATATATATATATATATATATATATATATATATATATATATATATATGCTTTGGTTGTAAACAATGGCTCAACAGCTGTTGAGTTGTAAACAATGACTCAACAGCTGTGGAGTTGTAAACAATGACTCAACAGCTGTGGAGTTGTAAACAATGACTCAACAGCTGTGGAGTTGTAAACAATGACTCAACAGCTGTGGAGTTGTAAACAATGAGTCCACTACGGGCTATGGTGAGCCCGTAGTGGACTTACCTGTCTCAGGAGCGGGGCTGTGTGTGTGTGTGTGTGTTTTTTTTTCCGATGTGTAGAGGCGTCCTGCCACTTATGTTGATGAGGCCGTGTTGGCCTTCCCAATATGGTGTAAACTGACCATTTAAAGTCAGTGGCAGACAATTGTTTACATCTGTTTATCGTACAGACATACTGGAGGTTTTCAGGTTAAATTTAAGAAAGCTGATGGCGCCTTTGAATGCTAACTTTAGTGTTATTAAGGATTTAGTGGCGGTTAGTAATGAATAAAATATTAATTGTTGTATACAATTAAGAGTTCTCCCAAACTACTTAAGTCATTTTTTAACGTTAAGTGGGTCGGAGAGTTTACAATGGCACAATAATTCAGAAACTTGTGACTACTGAAAATCACCGTTTAAGAGGTTAGTAGCAGCACCTGAGCACCCAGAGCTCAGTAAGGTAGGGCGGAGGAGTGTTAAAGCCCTCTAATTGTGCGCCCTCCAGCGTCCACCGCAAAGATATAATCTCTACCTGAAAAAATATTGGAGGGACCGAACCGTTTGGGTCTGGTCCCTCTTACAAGCTGTCCTCTTTTTCAGAGAACGTCGCATTTCGATCGTAGGCGTTACATAAAACCAACAATTGTCGTACTAGAAAATGGAAGCGGCTGGCGTACTGTCCCGTTTTCTGTTTTGGGTCCTCTGGCAGGTTAGGATAAGGGCACTTTAAATTGACCGCTTTCTTGACGTTGGTAAACCTTAGGAGGACGACCTGGCCAAACATGCACATTATAATAGCCCTCCCGACGCCAGCCCAACCACTTGGGCTGGATGGTAGAGCGAAAGGTCTCCTTTCAAGCTGGTCGGCGTTCAATCCCCCGACCGTCCACAAGTGGTTGGACACCATTCCTTTCCCCCGTCCCATACCAATTCCTTATCCTGACCCCTTCCCAGTGCTATATAGTCGTAATAGCTTGGCGCTTTTCCCCCTGATAATTCACTTCACTTCTCCCGACGCCAGCTGAGGGGCGCAGGAGGATCTTGGGGGGGGGGGGGGGCGATGTTGACCTTGAAGAGACAGATCTGGAGAAAATCAACATGCATGTAAAGGACACACTAGGGGCTCTGGCAGATGGATGACTGTGGCTCATCACGCTGGACACCTCATCAATTCATCAATGACTCTACATAAACAACCCCCCCCCAACCCCCGACTATACAGCGACGAGTCCTCTGGATTTAATATTATGATGAAGTCCCTTTAAGACTTCCATTAAATATTGGATGGACAAAACCAATTCAAATCAAGTTGTTGACCATCGTATTGATTTATTGTGCTTGACGAAACTGTAGTAAATTGGTGTTTAAGCCACCAAGAAAAGCGTAAACTGGACGACATATAATGACAAGTCGTGGAGACTGTTTACAGGAGACTTTACAGGAGACTGTTTACATTATACAGCATTATGGCAGCTCCGTGTCCGCCTGAGCGTCGGCACGTCGTGCACAACACCACCACCAAACTCACCACTGATATTTTAATAATTCAAACACCAGAGTGGAGGTGTGTGTGTGTGTGTGTGTGTGTGTGTGTGTGTGTGTGTGTGTGTGTGTGTGTGTGTGTGTGTGTGTGTTTACCTGTGAGCGCCTCCTCACGTGTTCCCCGCGTGGGTCAAGCATCCTTTGTGCGTGTGTGTGGAGTTCAGGTGTATTGAGAAAAGGAAGGACATCTTAAAAGGATTGAGAGTAGCTTAGGCTGTGTCTACCCTCGCATGAGCTGTCACCCCAGCTCCCCCCCCCCCTGTCTGGCTCACTGGTGTATGTT